CAATATTTTTATCCATTCAAGAATCTTGAATTTGAAGTTCTTTTTTTGTTCAAAAGGTAAAAACTGTCATCAAGCATTTAAAACCGGCAAGGGGAAAACGCTTGGTATAAAACTGTTTGTACCTGTGATTTGACAGGGGGCCCTGGTGTTGGATATTGTTGTATACAGGTAGTAAAACTTGAAAATACCAAGATTTTTATTGGGTACTGGGTTTAGTAGTGGAAACATGAGGGAAAATTATCGGGGAAAGGGGGCCATCATTAACAGTGGACCCCCCCAAAGCGAATTTAATCCGGCAAGAGGCTGGTCGTTATGCAAAATGTTCGCTAGCAAATTTAAATTTTTCCCCCCATAAGAAATAAGGGAAAAAAAAATTAACCCGTGCAAGACCCCAAAAGTAAAAAAAAAAATTTTTTTTTACCACAAAAAAATTTTAAATTTTTTAGTACACAAAACTGAAAAAGGATGCACAAATTACAGCACTTACTTTTATTGAAGACTGGTGATGATTAGGGATGGGGGGAGGGGAGAGAGGGGTTTTGGGTTTTTAGAAGGGAATCCCTTCCATTGGACTTGAGTAGAAAGTCCTTTTCGGGGGTTTTCTTCCCTTTTTTTTTAATGCCACGGGACCAGCTTCAGAGTCACTGGACTTCTTTCGACAACATTCTTCCATTGGCTGTACCTCTCTTTCCCCTTTTGTTTTGCTAAAGGGGTTCAAACGGTCATTGAACATCACCAGCACGGCTTGCAATAGCGTGTGGGGTTTTTTTCACAAAAAAGGTTTGCACTTCAACCCATTTTGCACACATTTCCTTAATCTTGGTAGGCAATTCCTTCAATTTCTCTCTCCCCTCCTTTGAACCAGTTTCCCCGGGTTGGGCCTCTTCTCTTAAGTTGATCTATCAGCTCATCGTGGTTAGTTTTTTCTTGTCCTCCTCCACCAACTCTTCCCACCCTCCCCACAACCCCCAAACCCCCAAGGACTTCCCCAATTCCACAATTTTTTTCCCAACGGGTATACATCCCCCTCAGGGTTTAGCCAAAAACCCTTAAAAACCCCTTTTGTCTACACATTCTGGCCACATTTTTCCCCCAAGCAGATTTAAAGGTTTCTAGTCACTCCCTCCCAACCCTTTACCTAAAAGGGTTTTTACCAACTGGGGTATTAAAGTGACCTTTCCCAAAACTCTTTTAGAGTAAATCCAGGTCGTGGTCACTTAAAAGCACTTTTGAAACAGAGCTTTTGTGTACAGTTTTTAATTTTGGAAATGACCGCGGTCCATGGGCTGCAGGAGAGGAGGGGTATTGGGGGGGGCAAAAACTTCACCTTAATGAAGCCAGTCCCCAAAAGTCGCTCTGCCACGTCGGGGGAGACCGGGGGCTTGTCAACACCGGGAGGCACTTAAGGCTAATTTTTTTTTCAGTTAGGTAATCTTTCACATTGGGGGAAAATGCATGGGAAACCCAGTTATAGAAAAATTCCCCCTATGACCCTGCCTTACTGTTTGCCCTCCACAGCACACACAAATTTTCCTTGAGGACATTCTTTTTTTCCCGAAAGCTCGGAAGTTTCAGAGTGATACACTAAAAAGGCTTAACTTTTCAACACCCCCTAGCTTGGCACACATCAACAAAGTAAGCCCCTCTTTTCATAGGGTTATTTTTTGGGAGTCCTTTTTTCCCCCTGAGAATGTGGGCCTGCTTGGGATTTTCTTCCAGAACAGGCCTGTTTCATCAAATTAAAAAACTTGTTCAGGTTAGTCCTTCGTTTCAGTACTCCCGAATTCTGAACATATTTTTTCAGCCCCTTTGGGTCCGAACTGGCAGCCTCACCATGCCGATCACACTATGGATGCCACCAAGTTCTTAAATCTCTAAACCAACCTTTGCTGGCCTTAAATTCACTACATCATCAATTTTGCAGGCATTTTTTTAATTAAATCGTATGCAAAATTTCCCAGCCTTTTTACATAATCGCTTTAGAGACGTATCTCCCGCTAGTGTTTTTATTTAAACCAACCAAAAAAGTCTCTCAACATCTTTCCCTCACTTGCGATCTTTGTTTCGAAAACACGTTAAACCTTTGGGAACAAAAAGCTTCCTTGATTGCCGTTTTCTTCCCACAATAGAAGCGATGGGTTTATTTTGGTTTTTTGTACAACCTGACCAGGTCGGTGATGTACTCCACTTTCATATTTTCAATGATCCTTTTTTTAATTTCAATGGGTATTCTTACCCTTTAGGTGTAGGGGTTGGCACTAAACTTTCTTGGGGCCCATGGTCACTTTTTTCCACAAACAGCACCAAAAAAAACGAATAATACGAAATTTCCGAATATGCTTTAATGTTACCCGGAGGTAGCTGGTAAACAATGGGCGGGCGGCACAGTAGGCTGGCTGAGGGCCCACATTGGACGCGTCTCGGACGAAGGCGCTGAGCGGGTTTTTGTCCACTATGCGGGGCAAAATTTTAGCGAACAAAGCGTTCGCTATGCGGATTGTTCGCTATGCAAGGCGTTCGCTATGCGGGGGTCCACTGTATACCGATAACTGGTACACAAGCCCATTACTCAGTGATTTCATGCGAGTGAACAAGACAGATGTGTGTGGCACAGTGCGTTCTAATCAAACATATGCCCAGGCTCAACGCAGGTGCTCGTGGTGATGACGTGCAGGTGTTTACTGCCAATGACATCATGGCATTATGGTGGCATGACAAACGAGATGTCACACTGTAGACAACCATTCACCATAATGAAATGCAAGACAGTGGCAAAGTTGATCGAGAGGCTAATGAACGTATTCGAAAACCAGTGACAGCGATTGATTATACACAAAACATGCGCTTGGTTGACAAATGTGACATGCAGATTGGTTTTGTTGACTGTGTTTGTAAGAGTTACAAGTGGTATATGAAACTTTTCTTCCATCTCATGGACATTTCAATGCTCAATGCATGTAATATGTACCAAATAAAGACTGGCAACAGACTACCGTATGGTGAATTTTGTTTGTCTCTTGTCAGACAACTCATAATGAAGTACCAGGTAACAACACCTGCTATACAACAAGGTCCTCGAATTACTGAGGATATACCCAAGCGTTTGAGGAGGGAAGGTGATCATTTCATAATACAGCTTCCTTCAACTCAGAAGAAATTTGCTCAGAAGAGATGCATCGTCTGTGCACAAACAAAACGACAGCAACAAAGAGGCAAAGACACTCGGTTTATGTGCGAGGAATGTAAGGTGCCTCTGTGCATGGTGCCTTGTTTCAAGGAGTTCCACAAGCTCCAGCAGTTCTAAAACCATGTCCAGTAATTGTAAATATGTAAATATATGATAGAACATTAGTATTATACAAGATTTGTGCATGCTTATTGTAATAAACAACAGTGGTAAACAATAATATAATAACTTTAGTGCGGTTATTGTGTTCAGTACAGCGAGTTCATATATATACATTATATACAGTATTGGTCTCTCAGGCCCCAAATGTTAGTAGGAAAAGAAAAAAATTGGAAAAGAAAAGAAAAAAATTGGAAAAGAAAAGAAAAAACTATAAAAACCGCTAAATAATGTAATGCGCGTATGTGGAATTCGTCGATGTTGCCGCCACCACATCATTTTGGACAAACTTCTTGGCACTGTATCTCGGTAAGTACTGATCAGAAATTTTTTTTTTTGTCTTATTACCTTCACAAAAATATGCCCTTTAATTCTGTAAGAAAAATAATTTTTTTTTTTTTTTTTTTTTTTTAAATTTCTTGGACACTGGAGCACCACTTCAGATTTTGGCCTTGGACCCTGAAGGGGTTAATTCTCAATGACAAAGGACTCTGTACAGGCATCCCCGTATCCAATTCCTGGATCAAGAACCCTTTACCAGTATCAGGGCACTTCTCTTCTACATAGCACTATATGAAACCAAAATATAATAGGAGAATATAATAGAATATAAGAGAATATAATAGAATATAACAGAATACAGTGGACCCCCGCATAACGATGGCATCACATAGCGATTTTTCCGCATACCGATTACTTTTATCGCAAAATTTTTGCCGCGCCTACCGATTAAAAACCCGCTTACCGATTTTCGTCCGAGACGCGTCCAATGTGCCCTCACATGTGCCGGCCGTCCCATTGTTTACCAGCCAGCCTCCGCGGTAACATCCAAGCATACACTCGGAATATTTCGTATTATTACAGTGTTTTCGGTGCTGTTTCTGGAAAATAAGTGACCATGGGCCCCAAGAAAGCTTCTAGTGCCAACCCTGTGGTAAAAAGGGTGAGAATTAGTATGGAAATTAAGAAAGATTTTGAAGGGTTTGGGGTCAACCCTGAGAAGCCTATGCCAGTTGTGGAATCCATTGTGCCTACTTCAAAGATTAAGGAAATGTGTGCAGAGTGGGTTAAACTGCAAACCTTTATAGATGAAAATCACCCTGACACAGCTGTTGCAAGCCGTGCTGGTGACTATTTCAATGACAATGTTATGGCCCATTTTAGGAAAGTCTTGAAGGAACGGGAGGTACAGAGCTCTATGGACAGATTTGTTGTGCGACAGAGGTCCAGTGACTCTCAAGTTGGTCCTAGTGGCATTAAAAGAAGAAGGGAAGTAACCCCAGAAAAGGACTTGCTACCTCAAGTCCTAATGGAAGGGGATTCCCCTTCTAAACAGTAAGAAGATAATGCTCTCCCCTCCTCCCATCCCATCAATCATCACCAGATCTTCAATAAAAGTAAGTGTCATGTAATTGTGCATGCCTTTTTCAGTTTGTGTGTATTAAAATTAACATTTCATGTGGTAAAAAAAAATTTTTTTCATACTTTTGGGCGTCTTGCACGGATTAATTTTATTTCCATTATTTCTTATGGGGAAAATTCATTCGCATAACGATTATTTCGCATAACGATGAGCCCTCTTGCACGGATTAAAATCGTTAACCGGGGGTCCACTGTATAATAGAATATAACAGAATATAATAGGAATACTCACCCTTATATGTCTAGGTGTTGGAAAGTATGGTCCATGAAAGTTCTTCGGTTTCACTTCCTCCAGTTCCTTCTCTGTGAGACTGCCTGCCTCAAGCCTTGCAAAATAGTCATGAATGTGCTTAATAGTATCCATTATTTCTTGTTCTATCTCTTCCTCAGTAAAAGCATTATCATTAAGTTTTTCCCGGAATTTCTTCCAGTGTTGATATTTTTCAGGAACTTCTTCAATTTCTTCAGAAGGAATCCCCTCTCCTTCTGGAAGCTTGTATAGCATTTTTTCTAAAGTCGGATAACAGGAGTCACTTTTAAAACCAGGCAAACGTTTTTTTTTTAAACTAGAATTAGGATTCCCTTCCACATTATCATATGATGCATCATATAAAGGAGCAATAACATTATCTGTACTGTCACTTTCTTCACTCTCACCAAGTTCATCTTCAAGTGGTAAATTATGTTTATTTTCAAATAATTTTTCATTTTTTTTTACCTCAGCCTTCCTTCTTTTTGAACAATATGGCACAGCATAGTCATCATCAGTATAGTCAAAACTGTCCACAGACATAAGGTCATAATGTTCAGAAAGCCACATGTCATTTCTATCACAGTGACTTGAACTCTTTTCTTGATCTTTCACTGCACACGGTACATTGCTAGTATCAGAATTCGTATCCCTATTGGATAGGTTATTCTTATTAAAGAACTTACTCCTATTTTTAGTTGAATATTCATCAAATACTGTTAAATCCTCTTTATCTATTTCAGAAAATGTTAAATGATGACCATCTTTCAACTCATTTGTCTTGTTCAAATTGCTATTCCCTTCACAAGTTGTAACTGGGAAAGGAATGTGCTTATTTTTTCTATTCTTTTTTTTGTAAATGCTATCACCAACGAATTCATTTAAATAACGTTCTTTTCCAGAATAACCAGCTTCCTTTTTCTTTTTACTTTGTTCTGATGAGCAGTTACAGTCTTTCATAACATTACCAGCTGTCTCATTCACTGACTCACACAGTTTACTGTCGGGTGATAAGTAATGATCCAATTTGCGCTTCTTTGATCTACTCTTACATAAACCAGTTTCAACATCTATGTCACCATTATGTTCTTGAGTGTCACAATGTATGGATTTTTTTCTTTTATGTTTTTTTCTTTTCTTTTCATTAAAAGTATTGTTACTTTCTATACAGTCTGACACTGGCTCATTGTGATACAATTGTGACACTTCCTCCACACACTTTAATTCATTCTTAGCAGCATAGCTATTGCAATCTTTATTGTCATTTTTTTCCTCATCCACCTGATTATCCTTATGTTTCTTTTTTTTCTTTTTTAACCTTCCTTCTACATTTTCTACTTTAGTGCTATATTGCTGCTCACTGTCTGAAAATTCACAAGAGTGTCTTTTAGATTTCTTTTTCTTGTATTCATCCATGACCTTGTCAGTATTCACAGGTTAAGCTCAGTGCTCTTACTGATATACTTACAGCCACTAAGTAGTGAACTTTGTTGATGTAGCTTTTTTTTCATACCATTCTAGGATTCAAACATTAATCAAAGATGTCAAGTCATCACCAACACAACACATTTGCAGAAGTTCATGAAATTACTAACTTCAGTAGTGCAATATCATCTTAGGCTGCATTATTTCCTCCTTATTATACTGATATATAAGTTTCAGTATCTGCTTCAGGTGGTGGGAAGCAAGTATTCTCACCAAATACCTGAAAAAAAATTACTACATGAACCCAGATTGAATAAATTTGCTAGTGGGTATTTTTTCAATTATTTCCATATTTTCATAAATAGACCGAGAGCTAGTTTAAAAAAAATATTAAAATTAAGAATGTTAGGTTAAATAATCACAAGCATGTCATGTTATAAGATATATTCTTCATTTACAGTACCTACAAAAACCTCTCACATTGATAAACATCTACAGAGTTCCACAGTCAAACATTAGCCAATTTAGTCAAAATCTAGGAAGTATGATAACTGATGCACGCATGAACAAAGATCACTTACTACTCTCAGGTGACTTCAATATAAATCTCCTGCAAGACCAGGACCCACACGTTACTGAATTCACAAACACAATGAGTAACTGTATGTTACTACCAACAGTAACAAAACCTACAAGAGTTACAGAGACTAGTGTTTCCCTACTTAAACCACATCTGGACCAACACCAAAATCCCCTTAAAATCAGGCATAATTACAGATAATACCACAGACCACTACCCTACTTTCCTCATAACAACTCTTGGTAAACACCACCCCAAGACCACTAAAAGTCACCTTCAGACTTCACAATGAGGCAGCCATTAATAATTCACAACAGCAATAAACAACATTGATTGGCACACTGAGCTAGAAACCTATTACAGATATTGACGAATGTATTAATAATTTTCTAAAAAAAAAAACCCAAAACCTCTATAACAAGCACTGCCCTAAAAAAAACTAAACAGATGACAGCAAAGAGACTGAACAGCCCTGCTAACACCAGCATTTTCAAATCCATAAATACAAAACACCAATATGAAAAACGGGACAGAATGGGTCACATTACCAGAGACCAAACAAAACGTTTTCTCGTCAATCCTAACCAGCCTGTAAGAAGGGCAAAAAAATTGTATTATGAGAACAGATTATCCAACTTACGAGGTGATATAAAAAAGACCTGAAAACCCTATCAAAATTCTGGGAACAAAAAGATATCACGAAAATAGCGAAATAAAATTAGCAAAAACAGATGAACCCCAACTCCCACCAACAGAAACAGCAAACAGACTCAATGATTTCTTTTCCACTATAGGGACAAAAACCTTGCCAAAATAAAATCCCAACCCTCAGATACCCCACCAAATGACTACCTCACCGGGCAACTACCCAACCCCACTGTTCTAGCTTCCGACTAACCCTAACGAAGTCCCCCTTTATTATCAACGCACTAAAAAACAAGGCAGGAGATTTAAATACCTTACCACCCCTTATAACAAAAAAGTGTCAAAAGTGCTATCACCAATCATTGCAAAAACTCTTTAACAAATCCATTGAATCCTCCACCTTCCCTACAGTACTCAAATAGCAAGGGTCAAACCCCCATCCACAAAGGAGGAGACCAAACAGAGTTGAATAACTAAAGGCCAATATCCAACTTACACCCTCTCTCAAAAAAACTTCGAAAAATTAATTCTAAACGAATCTACTCCTACCTTATCTCCCAAAACATACTCAACCCCCGCCAATTTGGATTCAGGCCTAATAAAAATACTAATGATGCTATTATACAAATGCTAGAACATATATACACTGCAATAGAGAAAAAAGAAGTCCCACTGGGGATCTTCATTGACTTACGTAAAGCTTTTGATACAGTTGACCATGACTTGCTCCACGTAAAATTGTCACACTATGGTATAAGAGGGCACTCCCTCAACTACCTCAAGTCTTACCTCAGCAACAGAAGCCAATATGTGTACGCAAATGGGGCAAACTCTTCTGCACAACCAATTACAGTTGGTGTCCCACAGGGAAGTGTCCTTGGCCCTCTTCTCTTTCTCCTATACATAAATGACCTTCCAAATGCTTCGCAATTACTCAAACCCACACTATTTGCAGATGACACTACATACGTCTTCTCTCACCCGAGCCCAGTCACGCTAGCCAATACTGTAAATACCGAATTACAGAAAATATCTACCTGGATGAGGACTAACAAACTTACACTAAACATTGACAAAACCTACTTCATTCAGTTTGGTAACAGAGCTACAGATGTCCCTCTTAACATAATGATAAATGGATCACCTATCACAAAACTAACAGAGGGAAAATTCTTAGGAATCCACCTTGATAATAGACTCAAATTTCATACACATATACATCAAATTTCTAAGAAAATTTCCAAGACTGTAGGCATACTATCGAAGATACGGTACTATGTTCCACAGTCAGCCCTCCTGGCCCTATATCACTCTCTTATTTACCCCTATCTCACCTATGGAATTTGTGCATGGGGCTCAACAACAATTAACCATCTCAGACCACTAATTACCCAACAAAAGGCTGCAGTTAGAATGATAACAAATTCTCACTACAGGCAGCACACTCCACCAATATTCAATACACTAAACCTACTCACCATACAAAACATCCATACTTATTACTGCACCTACTACATACATAGAACACTTAACTCTGATATTAACCCTCCCCTCAAACATCTCCTTGCCAACCTCAACAGAACACATGACCATAACACAAGGCACAGATCACTCTTTGATGTTCCTCGTGTCCATCTCACGCTATGCAAAAACTCAATGCACATAAAAGGCCCTAAAATCTGGAATTCATTACCTGTAAATATAAAAGAAACACTACCTGTTTATAAATTCAAGTCTCTTCTCAAAGATTACTTACTCACCCAAAACCAAATAAATACTGAATAACTGAACCTTATAAATTGTATATCTTAAATGTTTCTCACAATTATATCACATAAATGTTAAACCTAAAACCCAATCTAACTTTATTATTTTTTAAATACACTACCTAACAGAATCACTACCTAACTGAATGCAACCTTTATGACCTGTCTTTGTAATACTCACTTGTGCTTTATAGTTATCTGTTTACATTAATGTTTTATCACTGATTTCATCATTGCTTAGTAGCAGCGCTGTATAGTCCTTGTGGTTTAGCGCTTCTTTTTGATTATAATAATAATAATAATCATTGCTTAGTTAATCTTAAGTTAATTTTAAGCCAGCCCGTAATGCTATGCATAGTATAAGTGGCTTTGGCATGCTGCTCTTATCTGTATTTTTTTTTTGTACCTCTGTATGTGTGCACAAATTGGAAATAAATAAATAAATAAATAAATAAACTGATGTAGATGGGGATAAGTCACATATTTGTGTGTTAGGTCAAGTGAAAATGCAATAAAAATCAAATCATGATATCATCAAGCCTCTTTGACTATCTGAAAATATAACATATTATGATCGGGTAACCATATCCCAGACCATTAAATATACTCTGCTTTCATATTTCCAAGGAAATTAACCCTTAAACGGTCCAAACATATATATACGCTCACTCACGCAGCGCCCCTAATTTTTTGAGAAAAAAAATTATAGGAAAAAAGAGCATGTGGTACCCAGGCGCCCCCAATTTTTTTCGTATGGCGCACAATGAGTGTACACACCCATTCTCTCATGTCTAGGCGACTCAGGCATATCGTGCCAATGTTGAATGAATGACAAAGGAAACATATACATATATACGTTTGGGGCGCTATGCGAGAGAACGTATATATACGTTTGGACCATTTAAAGGTTAATACTCAAATTGCCCCCTAATAACTCAAAAATCATGATATACAGTTTGCTTAACCCCTTTGATACAGTAGATCACAGCATCCTACTCCTCAAGCTTGATCATTACGGTATTAGAAGCCATGCACTTGCATATGTTAAGTCCTACCTTACTAACAGAAAGCAATACGTCTCTGTCAAGGACACAACCTGGTGGCCTGGTGGCCTGGTGGCTAAAGCTCTAGCTTCACACACACAGGGACCAGGTTCGATTCCTAGCGAGGTGGAAACATTTCGACCTATTTCCTTACACCTGTTATGTTCACCTAGCAGCAAATAGATACCTGGGTGTTAGTCGACTGGTGTGGGTCGCATCCTGAGGGACAAGACTGAGGACCCCAATGGAAATAAGAGACAGTCTTCGATGATACACTGACTCTCTTGGGTTATCCTGGGTGGCTAACCCTCCGGGGTTAAAAATCCTTAGAAAATCTTATCTTATCTCTTATATTAACCTCCTCGACAAGACCCCTGGACACTGGTATACCACAGGGTAGCATTCTCTGTCCCCTCCTTTCCTTTTATACATAAGCAATCTCCCAAGTGTTTCACAACAACTTACGCCTATTCTATTTGCTGACAATATGACTTTTGTCATCTATCACCCAATTCTAGCCCTGCTGAACACACTTATTAACCCTTTGACTGTTTCAGTTGTATGTGTATGTCTTACAAGCCAATGTGTTTGACATATTAATACGCCAAAATTCTAGCGGCTTCAAATCAAGCAAGAGAAAGCTGGTAGCCCTGCATGCGAGAGAATAGGTCTCCATGGTCAGTGGAACCGGTGGTGCATTGTGGGAATGCCATTTCAGTAGTCCTTGTTCAGCATGCCTAGCGGTAAGAAATATGTTACTTCCCGGTGAATCTGGGACTCTTCTCTTCCCAAGTGATCACTCTGACACAGATGGAAGTGTCAGGGGTGAGATGATTTCATGTTTTTGAGGAGTATGTGACCGAAGCAATACACTGGATACCAAATAAAGAAGAAAAGAAAGAGAAAGGAAAGAGAAAGAGAATGAAGAAAAAAGAAGAAAAAAAAAGAGGGAAGAAAGAAGGAATGAAGAAAGAAGATGAAGAAAGAGGGAATGAAGAAAGAAGGAATGAAGAAGAGAATGAAGAATGAAGAAGAGAATGAAGAAAGGAATGAGAAGAAGAATAGAAGGAATGAAGAAAGAGGAATGAAGAAAGAGAATGAAGAAGAATGAAGAAAGAAGGAATGAAGAAAGAAGGAATGAAGAAAGAAGAATGAAGAAGGAATGAAGAAAGAAGGAATGAAGAAAGAGAATGAAGAAGAGAATGAAGGGAAAGGAATGAAGAAGGAATGAAGAAAGAAGGAATGAAGAAGGAATAAGAAGGAATAGAAGGAATGAAGAAGGAATGAAGAAGAGAATGAAGAAGGAATGAAGAAGAATGAAGAAAGAAGGAATGAAGAAAGAAGGAATGAAGAAAGAAGGAATGAAGAAAGAAGGAATGAAAGAAGGAATGAAGAAAGAAGGAATGAAGAAAGAAGGAATGAAGAAAGAAGGAATGAAGAAAGAAGGAATGAAGAAAAGATGAAGAAGAAGGAATGAAGAAGGAATGAAGAAGAAAAAGGAATGAAGAAAGAAGGAATGAAGAAGGAATGAGAAAGAAAGAAGGAATGAAGAAAGAAGGAATGAAGAAAGAAGAATGAAGAAAGAAGGAATGAAGAAAGAAGGAATGAGAAGAAGGAATGAAAGAAGGAATGAAGAAGAAGGAAATGAAGAAGGAATGAAGAAAGAAGGAATGAAGAAAGAAGGAATGAAGAAAGAAGGAATGAAGAAGGAATGAAGAAAGAAGGAATGAAGAAAGAAGGAATGAAGAAAGAAGGAATGAAGAAAGAAGGAATGAAGAAAGAAGGAATGAAGAAAGAAGGAATGAAGAAGGAATGAAGAAAGAAGGAATGAAGAAAGAAGGAATGAAGAAGGAATGAAGAAAATGAAGAAAGAATGAAGTAAGAAATAATGAAAGAATGAAGTAAGAAATAATGAAGAAAGAAAAAGAAAGAATGGTAGGTAGTTACAAAGGAGGTGGGGAGGAAGGCATCGACCCCATGGTGTTGACACGCAGTAATGTCATTTTGACAGCTGCCGGACCCTGACTACACATTTAGGAGTACACACACACACACACACACAAACAACACAAGCTTCCAGAAGATAATAGCAGTTCTATATAAGTGTCCAGTGACTATGTGTGTATATATATTATAGAAACCAGAAGGAAGGGAGGAAAGAATGAAGAAGGAAAGAATGAAGAAGGAAAGAATGAAGAAAGAAAGATGGGTAGGTAGGTAGGAATGATGATGCATGACCATTTACCTAGGATAACTGCCTAACACAACTGCCTGCTAATACTTTGAAGAAAACTGCTCAGACGAGGTGTTTTGTCTGTGCACATACAAGACAAACGCCCAAAAAAACGCAGAGACACTAATCTTATGTGTGAGGATTGTAAAACACCATTGTGCACACACCCAAGTTTCAAAGAATTCCATAAGCTGCAGCAGTTCTAGGAAAGTGTCCAGTGACTGTACATTTGTATACAGCGGAACCTCTACTTGCAAGTTTAAACCGTTCCATGACCTTGCTCGCAACTGGATTTGCTCATTTGCAGTCAATTTTCCTCATTTAAATTAACTGAAATGCAATTAATCCATTCCAGTGGAATTCTGTACTTCAACAGTTTCGCTAATATCAATTCTACGGCTTATTTATCTATCTCACTTCATCTAATATGACATAATAAACAAAATAAATAACATAGAAACCTCATATATACTCTAAAATTAATAAAATATGTCATTCATGTAGTGGAATGGGCGGTGTCTGCTGTGGACGAGAGTTTGTCTGAAGACCGGGCAAAATACTTCATGAATAATTTCACTAATATCATCGATACAGCTTATTTTTCTATCACAGTTCATCTAATGTGACATAACAAACAATATAAATAACATAGAAACATGATATATACTCTAGAATGAATAAAATACATCATTATGTAACAGGTGGAGGCAGCCACAACCGCTCCCTCTTTGTTGTGGTAAACACTGCCATCTAGTGATGGCCTTTTGAAGCCATCTATATAATTATTGCATGTAGTACATTATTATACATATTATATTATTATTATTGTATTATATTATTATACTATTATTATTATACATATTATTATTAACACACATGATCGAGGTGTATGAACAGAAAACAGAAATAAATAAAGGGCTGAAAATTTCCAGCCATGACAGGACTCGCAGCAATGGTTTCAAGTTGGAAAAATTCAGATTCAAGAAGGATATAGGAAAGCACTGGTTTGGTAATAGAGTTGTGGATGAGTGGAACAAACTCCCGAATACAGTTATTGAGGCTAAAACGTTGTGTAGTTTTAAAAATAGGTTAGATAAATACACGAGTGGGTGTGGGTGGGTGTGAGTAGGACCTGACTAGCTTGTGCTGCTGGGTCTGGTGCAGTGCTCCATCCTTGAGCAGAGATGACCAGGCTGGGTGGGTCATTGGTCTAATCCGGGAGGGGGGGAGGGGACAAGGACCAGCTCCACATGGGTCAGTAGGCCTGTTTCAGTGTTCCTTCCTTCTTTTGTTCTTATGTTCTTAGGTCCTCCATCACAAATCCGGCATCATTGGGACCTGTAGTGTGCCGGATTACTGAGTTTGCCAGATTACAGAGTGGTTTGGTTAGAATACACTTAATAAAATTAACCAACTTGACTTACACAAAGTTCACTGAACATCAGCAAAAATCGAACATTTCCACTACTTTGAGCTCAATTTCAAGGTACTTTTCATTATGAAAGCAATCAAAATCAAATCTATTTCTGTAATATATCTTTCATTCTATCAAATGAGACCGAAAAAATGAGAATATAACCATAAAAACATACAAAAAAATACCGCTAAGCGGCCGCTGATGGCTGAGAAGTGAACTCCGCTATTTATGGTCTGATTTCTTTCATTTTTGGTCTACATTAAAAAGTATCTTTCCATCATACATTGCCCAAGTTTGAATAAGATAACCCAAAAAAACAACTGAGAAAATAATAATAATAAATAATAATAATAACAATATATTTACTACATGTATATGTACAAGGTATACAGGCCTAGCTGACATCAGTGACATACTACTGTATAGAAAGCCGCTTGTTATGCAGAGTATTTCAAGAAAATTAGGTCAGTGTCCCAGGATAACACCCACACTAGTAGGCTAACACCCAGGTACCCATTTACTGATGGGTAAACATAGACAACAGGTGTAAAGAAACACACCTAATGTTTCTACCATGGCTGGGAATCTAATATTTACCAAAAAACATATATGGCTAACCCAAGCCAGGTACTAAAAATAAGCCACGTAGACTTTTTTGGGTTATCTAGGTTCTCTACACATGCTGCTATGTGTGATAATCTATATAGAGAAAATAACTTTTGTTTCATGTTTATGATGCAGTACGAGTGTATATCACAGTCAGCCCTGTGCTACACTACGTTTTCTCTAACATAAGCCCCAAGACAGGGATAGAAGAATGGTATTTGTATACCATATCCTCTTCATACCTCCATCGAACTGCTCGGAGTTACGCCAAATATTATTTATTCTGGAGTATTTAACATGTTTTATGTTATTTATATTGTTTATTATGTCATATTAGATCAATTGTGATAGGCAAATAAACTGTAGTGTTGATATTAGCATAGTAATAAAGCATATTCTCCTGCTTCATGAGACTGAGTTCATGACAACAGACAGTGGCTTCAAAGCCACCTTATCGTTAATGGATAATGTACCGTGTAGGTGCATTACATAATGAGAAGCATTTCTTTTATTCACTGGAACCATGGCTAGTGCTAAAAGTAAGCAGGTTAACCCTTTCAGGGTCTGTCCCATAGATCTACGGCTTCACGTTGAGTGTCCAAACCGTAGATCTATGCCAAAATTCTAGTGCCGTCAAATTTAGCACGAAAGTGCTCATAGGCCTACATGTGAGAGAATGGGTCTGCGTGGTGGGTGTGCGCCATAAACAAAAAATCTAGGCACCCGCATAGCATTGTAGGAACGCCGGCTCAGTTACCCTTGTTCACCATGCCTCGTCGCAAGTCAGCTCTCACTCCACGGAAAATTGGGACTCTCCTCTTCCTATCTGATAGTTCTGACACTGATGGAAGTGGAAATGACGAATTCTACGGCTTTGATCAGTTAGTGACCGAAAGGAATGACCAGGATATCGATAATAGTGCAGAAAACTCTGACGATCCTCAACCTTCTACCTCTGGTATGGGCACTCGTCAGCCACGGTCAGTTGTACCTCAACACAAGAGAAAACAAATATTTTCCCCGTGGCCAGGCCTCTGACTTCAGTAATGATGATGATAGTGACATGGATTGTGATTTTATTGCACTTGACGATCATTCGAGTAATGATAGTGAGGAATCATATTCACCAGTGAAGCGTCGGTATGTACGCCGCCGCATGCGCTCGGGTAGTGTACCCTATGCTGTGCCCAGGGGACGGAGTACATCCCGGAGCACACCCCATGGCCCTACGCCAGGTTTAGATAGTGATAGTGAGGATGATGTGGCTACACTTGGCATGGATAGACCACAGGCATCAATAGATGGTGGTAGTGGTGATGGTAGTGGCACTGCCATGCGTAACTCATGAGCCCAGGCGGGGAAACCCCCGCGGGCTGACTCCTCAGTTAAATGACAAAGCGGAGTGTCAGCCACCAGCCCACCATAACCACAACCACCTGCACAACCAGCTTATGATGTCCAGTATCCACCAGCAAACCGTATCTGGGATTGGCAGCAAAATCCCAATTTTGTTCCCAAGCCCCACCACTTCGATGACTCTAAAAGGGTGGAATCTACCTATTTGTCCCTTGAAACCACGGCCAATGAACTGGAATTCATTAAATTTAAATTCTTTGGCCAGCCATTGATGGAAACAAATTGTCAGGGAAAGTAATAAGTTTTTTTGGAGTACACCATGGCAATACGATCATATCACCACAGTCAAGACTCACAGGTGAACAGAGAAGACTGTTGCAGAAATGTATTTGCTTTTTGCAACAATAATGTTATGCCTCATGTCTTTGGGGCATAATATAAAAGCATACTGGTCCACAGATCGGCTAATTTCTACCCCGGTCTTCAGTGAAATAAATCCCAGTGAACAGGTTTATCTTACTGTTATGTAGTTGCACTTCTCTAAACAAAAACCAGGCCTGACAGAAGTGACGGGTTATAAAAGATTGGGAATGTTTTTATGTATCTCAAACAAAAGTTCAGCATATACTTTTATCCATTCAAGAATCTTGAAAATTGACGAGTCTTTGATTTTGTTCAAAGGTAGACTGTCATTCAAGCAGTATATACCGAGCAAGACGAAACGCTTTAGTATAAAACTGTTTGTACTCTGTGACTGTGACAGTGGCCTGGTTGGATATTGTTGTATACACGGGAAGTAAACACTGAAAGATACCAAGATGTTATTGGGTATCTCAGATGACGTAGTGAGAAACATGATGGCACCTTATCTTGGAAAGGGGCATACATTATATACCGATAACTGGTACACAAGCCCATTACTCAGTGATTTCTTGCGAGTGAACAAGACAGATGTGTGTGGGCACAGTGCTTCTAATCATAAACATATCCCCAGGCTCAACGCAGGTGCTCGGGGGTGATTGACGTGCGGGGTGTTTACTTCCAATGACATCATGGCATTACGGTGGCATGACAAACGAGATGTCGCATTGTTGACAACTATTCACCGTAGTGAAATGCAAGACAGTGGTCGAGTGACTAATGAACATACTCGAAAACCAGTGACAGTGATTGATTATACACAAAACATGCGCTTGGTTGACAAATGTGACATGCAGATTGGTTTTGGTTGATGTGTTCGTAGAGTTACAAGTGGTACATGAAACTTTTCTTCCATCTCATGGACATTTCAATGCTCAATGCATATAATATGTACCAAATAAAGACTGGCAACAGACCACCATATGGTGAATTTTGTTTGTTTCTTGTCAGACAACTCATAATGAAGTACCAGGTAACAACACCTGCTATACAACAAGGTCCTCGAATTCCTCAGGATATACCAAAGCGGGTTTTAGGAGGGAAGGTGATCATTTCAATATACAGCTTCCTTCAACTCAGAAGAAATTTGCTCCCAAGAGATGCATCGTCTGTGCACAAACAAAACGACGGCAACAAAGACGCAAAGACACTCGGTTTATATGTGAGGAATGTAAGGTGCCTCTGTGTATGGTGCCTTGTTTCAAGGAGTTCCACAAGCTCCAGCAGTTCTAAAATCACGTCCAGTGATTGTAAATATGTAAATATACGATAGAACATTAGTATTATACAAGATTTGTGCATGCTTATTGTAATAAACAACAGTGGTAAATAATAATATAATTTTAGTGCGGTTATTGTGTTCAGTACAGCGAGTTCATATATATACATTATATACAGTATTGGTCTCTCAGGCCCCAAATGTTAGTAGGAAAAGAAAAAAATTGGAAAAGAAAAGAAAAAAATTGGAAAAGAAAAGAAAAAACTAAAAAAACGCTAAATAAAGTAATGCGCATATGTGGAATTCGTCAATGTTGCCGCCACCACATCATTTTGGACAAACTTCTTGGCACTGTATCTCGGTAAGTACTGATCAGAATTTTTTTTTTCTTATGACCTTCACAAAAATATACTCTTTAATTCTGTAAGAAAAATATTTTTTTTTTTTTTTTTTTTTTTTTTTTTTTTTTTTTTTTTTTTTTTTTTTTACAAAATTTCTTGGACACTGGAGCACCACTTCAGATTTTGGCCTTGGACCCTGAAGGGGTTAAAACAATAAATGGAGAAAAAGAAATTGGAATGACTTGTACAGTAAGTAGCGCCACCAAACGGTACCAGCAGGTTGTTGTGGCGACCCTGGAAATTTGAAATTATGCTAGCTTAAATTAGTGCCAAATAAATGAAGGAACCGAATAACTGATTGCCGGATTTGTGATGGCGGACCTGTACATATTATTTATTTTTTTTTATTATCACACTGGCCGATTCCCACCAAGGCAGGGTGGCCCAAAAAAGAAAAACTTTCATCATCATTCACTCCATCACTGTCTTGCCAGAAGGGTGCTTTACACTACAGTTTTTAAACTGCAACATTAACACCCCTCCTTCAGAGTGCAGGCACTGTACTTCCCATCTCCAGGACTCAAGTCCGGCCTGCCGATTTCCCTGAACCCCTTCATAAATGTTACTTTTGCTCACACTCCAACAGCACGTCAAGTATTAAAAACCATTTGTCCCATTCACTCCTATCAAAAGCGCTCACGCATGCCTGCTGGAAGTCCAAAGCCCCTCGCACACAAACCTCCTTTTACCCCCTCCCTCCAACCTTTCTAGGCCGACCCCTAACCCCGCCTTCCTTCCACTACAGACTGATACACTCTTGAAGTTATTCTCTTTTGCTCCATTCTCTCCACATGTCCGAACCACCTCAACAACCCTTCCTCAGCCCTCTGGACAACAGTTTTGGTAATCCCGCACCTCCTCCCAACTTCCAAACTACGAATTCTCTGCATTATATTCACACCACACATTGCTCTCAGAC